GCAAAGTGTTAAAGTGTCCAGTACAGTGTTCGTTGAAGTGTCCAGTACAAAGCCTAGTGTTAAAAATATAAAATGTCTTTACTGTCACGGCAAAATTAACATAATAATTAGTTAGAGAGGCAATGTTCAATATCGGTGCATCGAATCAAGTTTTATTGCTAGAGTTCATTTGAGTTAGTACTATTTGCCAAAAGACTTTGAGCCGAATTCATTAGACCTCCCGATCGTTATGAGCAGATTTAATCAGCAGACTTTAAAAACTACCCCTCCCCCTCTAAAGAACTAAAAAGGTGAAATAAGTTTTTAAAGTAAGGCACAATATTAACGCAATTAACACCCGTCCTAACGAGTTAAAAAATTAAAAAACTTGAAAAACTTACCTAGCTTATGTGAAATGCTACCCAGGATGATGCTCACACACCCCTCCCCCTCCTCCCCCATAGTAACATGTGTGGGAGACCCCAAAACATTCTTAACTAATTGCAGTAAACCAAGTTTTCAAGAAACTGAAACTCCCTTAAGGTACGAGACTGGCTTCAACATATTTTAACAAAGGCTAAATTTAATTTGTTAGCAAGGATCCGAAAATTAAAAATTTATGAAATATATTTCAAAACAAATTAGCTCAAAAACTACGAATACTCCCATGCCGAAACCTCGACAACAAATTATAATGCATACATTTCAATATAATTTCTCTAGATTAGTGTAATTGCATGAGTTTTGAACTGAAATTCTTTTTAAAATGAAATATAACTAAATATATTATTTATGAATATTGAATCTTCGCGAAGAAAATTTTTAAATACACTTAAAACGTAAAAAAAAAAAAAATAATAATTCACTCATACCCTAGCTTTTAGTGCAAATAATGGATAACATACAAATCTACAAAAATTTCAAATTTTGTAATAAACTGTCGTGATAAAAATTTCAAAATCCACGTTTAGAAAAGTTCAACTTAAACGTTCATAAAGTTCATTGAGTAAAAAATTCGAAAGTCTTAAAAATATAATTCAATCAAATGAAAATGTTTAAATAATCTAAAAAAAATAATGTTTATTTTTCAGGAGTCTACTTCCGGCTATATTTGTCAGCAGTCGAAAAAACTAATCAAACACCATTTATTAAAATTGACATCAAAAACTTAGATATTTTGGAAAGCTAATTAACCAAGTCCAAACATAAATAATGAAAAATTCAAATTTCCGTCGAAATTTTTTCTTTTCACCCAGTTGGATACCAGAATAATTTAATTTTTGAAATAGATTTCAACAATAACTTTCACAATTCAATCTCGGATCAAACACTGTATTAGAGTTTAAATACACAAAATAAAATTTATATTCAACAATTTCTTAACGAGATCAAAATACTTACCCATCTATAAACTTTAAAGACATAATCAGTATTCTGCTGCTTTCAATCTAGCATTATTAACTATCTGTAGTAGAGTATCAAGCTGTAAAGTCATAATCAGTATTCTGCTGCTAGGTATATTCTTTCAAACTAGCATTAGTTACTTCGTGTGGTAGAGTATCAAACATCAATTTCAAGGAAATCACGGTAGCTTCTTGGATTCTGCAATAAATAAGAAAATGTAATTAAAAATATAATCGTTTAATATGGTTACGTTTCATTAGTTAAATATTTAATGCTGTGTACACAGTGTCATAAGAATTACGGAAAAATTATATTAACCCCCTGAAAAAGTATCTTAATAAAAAGCTAAAAACATGTAACAATTTAAATGTACTTTTATGTCAATACAAATATATTGTTTAATAATAATTTAAAGCAATATTTTCAATTTCTTAAATTTAAAATGACGTAAAACTTATAAGTCTCGTTTGAATAACACTATTTTTGATCAAGTATTTTCCTCAAACCAAACCTGTTAAATTTCGTAGCCGTTTGCTTAGAAATTGGTATCCTTGGTGGCAGAGAGGATGTTTTTGGCTTTATATAGTACTTTCACCAGGAGCGAACACTTTGTTCTGCCTACATCACATAATAACCGACCATTTCGCTATCTTCAGGAAAAGCATGTGAACAAGGTTGCTATTTGGCTATCTCAAGACAAAATTATTTATTTCACAATCTATGTGCATTTTTTTTAACATTAAATATTTCATAAATTAGATGATACTTCTCTTTTGAGTTTGTCCTT